AGGTCTAAAGTGAGATGGAAGGTCATGCAGACAAATCATTCCAAACATCTAGAACTGGTTTTGGAACAGAGGCAGAACAGAAATAAACTACTAGTACAGCCCTGACCTTAAGCCATATAAACAGCTATGGTAAATGCCTAAAAGTATTTTCGTGAAAATGTAAAATTACTCTACTTTTTCAGATAAGAAGTGTTCAAAGATTCATCTAGATTTATGCCAGAAAGTTGACAGTTAAACAACTTCTAGCCCTTGAGACATCTTACAGTCATTTTGCATCATTTGGTTAGACATTTTTCATAGTTTTTGTGTATAATATCTAATAAAAATGACCTATACTCAAGATTGAACATTTGCTATCGGACAAAAAAACTTCAATTGAAAATGCAATTTTTGAATCCCACATTAATAATATTACATTATGATTAGATTTAATTCCAGACCATTAATAATCAGTTAATGTATTTATTTAGCAGAGTTTCATACCTTTTACTGTTTTTTGCTGAAGCATCTTGCTCTTAAAACGTGTGTTAATAAGGTTGTTTTTGTGAAAAAAAAAAATATTTGTGCGAATAGTGTTAAAAAGACTGTTTAGCTTTTCGTTATTGTTTACTTATCTACACTGTCTATTGATATAAACAGTGGAGATTAGTAAAATGACCTCTAAAAGGGTTTATATAAAAAAATATAAACTTTAATATCTCATTTACATCTCTAAACTCTAATAGTTTTATACATCTGATTATTTGAAGTTGTGCATTCAGACATAAGCTTATAACCAGTCCCATTGTGTAGCATTCACTTATTGCAGAGACTGGGAACAATCAGATTCACATTCAAAATGAATTAAAGTTAAAGATTTTTTTCTAATAATTAAAAGTGGTCAATCTTTCTTAACATACATTATTTCATGAGATATTTACTGGTATATTGTTAGGTTTATATTTTAGATTAGGATAATAAATCTACTATATATCACTAAAGTTAGTGATATATAGTAGTGGATTTCCCAAATCAAATGAAATTCATAACTAATTCATCTAAGTATTACGTTCAGATTGAAATTATAGATTCACTTCGATTTGCCATTAAGGGCAAACTGTTTGCATGTTAGTCATTTCTGTTGGTATGGGAACACTGAGTATCTGAAAGGACAGTCTTAACGACATTACATGAATTAACAACCATAGACATGGGAATGCAATAATGTCAGGACATTTTTCTTCCATCCAAGACTTCTCCCTGACTACTGTTTGCATGGGGGGGGATTAATCAGGCAGTTACTCTGTATGTGTATTTAGCCTTTATATGCCAACAACATTTTGCTGGAGCTGAAGCTTTACCTACCATCGTGTGACAAATGAGCCAGAAGCCCAGCACCCAAACTCTGCTCATTACTCATGTGAAGTATGTCACAAAGAGTAATTACACTTTGCCCAAAACCTGGGTTTACACCAATGTACACACAAGAGCAACACATCAGGATTTACGCTTTCCCAAACTTGGTGCAATATTAAAGCATTCTAATATGTGCAGGGCTGCTTATCTTGATCATAATTAGAAATACCGGTAATGACAAATGATAAAAGAATATGTTAAAGGTGTGCTCAGTTTGCTTTTGCTATTGTTTGGTCAGGTTTTCAATCTGGAAAAGATGTACATTTGGACTGACATACATGTATTTTCACTTTAGCTTGTAAATGGCCTGTACTTCTGATTTGCTTGGTTTGGAAGCCAACTCATCACTATTGGAAAAGCCTTTATCTGGCGTTCACCTGTGTGTTCGTGGTATTTTCAGCACTCAGTAACATGCCTGTGGTCATGCTCCAGTGAAGCAGTCAGGGTTTCTGACAGACTGGAGGGAATTGATGTGGGTCAGTCGCCTCAGAAGCTCATTTAGTCCCTATCTCTATAATACACACACCAGGATGCATATGGACTGAGTTTCTCTAAGTGTCTCTGACAGGACTTTTCATACACACATACATCCACTGCTGTGGCCCCATTAGAGAGATATGGTGAAGACAGGGCTGATGATGTGTGTCACACAATTCTACTGCTGGACTCACACTAACACCTTTTCCTTCCCCTTTGCCACTTTATATTTTCTACTTCCTATTGATTTATTAACATGATGGTTACATGTTCTGTGTCTCCAATACGCTCGTTAAATTTCATACATACAGTACATGGCATTAGTTTTTGAATACCAAATTATCACATTTATAAAGATAAAGAGCATTGCAGAGAGAATAGAAAAAGGGGTTCAGTTCATCAGGACTCAGCTGTTCTCAGTGTGTTTTCTATGTTTCACATCAGCAATATTTAGTTCATCCATGCATCTGTTAATGATCTTTTCCTGAGTTAACCACCCAGGATATCTGGGGAGCTGATGCATATCTTACTTGATGAAAGGCAGGGCACAGCCCGGAAAGATCAGAAAACTACATAGACTGGTTCTGATTACATCAAATTGTAGCTCCTATCCCTTTATTTTTCTCTGGGTCAAGAATAAGAACAGTATCCAGGGTAGAAAAGGGAAAAAAACAGACTTCTGTTCTGAATCTGTACTGCCTTCAGCCACACGAATGTCATTGTGGTATGAAAACAGACATGGATGAAGCTAGTCTCTATCCATAGAGACACAAACGGCAGATACTCACAATTAAAGTTAATTAGGAGCAGAGTTTTTCCAAGCCTGGTCCTATTAAATCACCCTTCATGTTTAGGTGGTTCCTTGCTTCAGCAAGCTTGATTTCAATAATGGCTGATAAACAGGATTTTGTTGAGTTATTATTTGAATAAAGGGTGTTAAACAGCGGAAAATAGAAGCTAAACATGCATGTGTTTTTGTGGTACCAGGAGAGGACTCACCAATACATGGACAGAACTTCTAAACTTTTTTTGTTGACCCTAAACTTAGTATCTTATATTATATATTGAAATACAGCCATATACTGCTTCTTTTTAGGTTTTCATTCATCCTGTCAATTATATCTCTTTGTATTTGCCTATGAATACAGACTTTTATCTACCTGCCACACTCTGTACCTGACCCTCATCATTACACTTTAGTTCTTAATGTTATATGGTGGTATTATCCTGGTTTGTCTGCATGTCAATGGCTGCATCTTCTGCCTATCAAAGTAATATTTCACACCTCACTGCATGTCTTGTTTGCAGAATTGAGCAGAATTAGCAAAAGGTTTGTCTTTTATTTGCAGGAGTCACTTTCAGAATCAACGTTTTTCATAAGCAACACACGACAATAGGACTTTGTGTCACATAGTATATAAAATAGTCACTGACTTGAATCCAAAAGCAATATTGCTGAATTAGTGTCTTGAGGAGAATAGACTTCATTGTCCATTATTTTCTTCATTTCGCAGAGCATCCTTTCTTGCACACTTAGCCGCACGGAAACACAATCTGTGGGACATCTCTTTAAAAAAAAAAAAAAATGCTAGAACAGTAAAATCAAAACATTAAAAAGGTTTCAAACAAAAGTAATAAAGATGTCCATCCCCCCTCCCCCACAATGCAGCCTAGTAAGAAAACTGGACAAATATAAAATCTATGACAAATTATGGGTACAAGTTAAAATATAAGTGTGCAAAAACAGTATATCTATTCATTCATTCATCCAATTTCTGCCATGCTTATCCCTGCTGGGGTCGCGAGGGGTGCTAGTGTCTATCTCCAGCTGTCTACGGGCGGAACGCAGGGTCCACCTGAACGGGTCGCCAGTCCATCGCAGGGTCCAAAAGTATATCATCATTGCAGATCAATTTGTGCAGTACTATTACAATGGACTGCTTGGAAGTAGCATTTGGTTTGTCAGTTTGTATCAAGTATCATACACTTATGTGCTGCACGCTTCTCACATGTCTCTGGAGTTGAGTTGAATCCATTTTAATATCTAGGCTGCTAAAGTCCAGAGACTGAAGAGGGCAAAGCGATTATAGAAAAAAGAAAGGAGGAGGAAATTCAAATCAGTCTACTCAACCCTGACATTAAAACTACATTTTTTATTTTTCAGCCCAAATTCTAAAGAAATATTCTAAAGGAAAATAATTAAGTTTGTTTTTCTATCATTAAATTATAATCGAAGGCATTGCTTGTTGATTTATATATATATATATTGTTTTTAAACTGCTACACACGAACTTTATAGCATTTTATTTTATAGATGTTCTCCCCCTCTTCTTGACATCCACATTATTTCATCAGGTTGTGTAACAGCCTTTCCCTACTGGCATGAGATGATGAAAGGTGGAGAACATGATGGTTGTGCAAACACAGAAACTCTTTTTTCTTGAAGCCCAAGGATCACCTCTGAAGTGGGAACTCTTGCGGATCACTCTTTAAAATGCCTAACAGAAGTCCAAATGTTATAAATATGGTATGGAGCAATGTTTTTAAACATGGATTAATTTTGAAATTCGGTTTGTTTTCATTGCAACCATGTTAATTCTGTATTTTGTCATGTGTGAATTATCTCCAGGCAACAGGGCTTGAATTTATTTATTTTTTTTACTAATATGATACATAATAATATCTCTCATGATTTGTGAGATGATTGTTTTCCTGTTTCTAGACTATTGCAATAACATTTTTATAATTAAAAGTTTTACTTTTAATTGGATTGTATAGAACATATTTTAACTTATCTGGTCTCAGCTTTTTATATCCCAAAAATGTGACATTTTAGCAGGGATTTCTACAGGTTTGAGATCAGCATAAAAGTTCCTCCCTCAGGGTTCCTTCCTTTGAAAGTACAGATAAAACTATTGGATAAATGTTTGTTTAGACCTTCCCTTCTTTTTTTGTCATATAAAATATCCAATTTTTTTTTTTTATTTTATAATATAAAAATTTAAACTTGCTTGCATTATAATTTTATCTTCATTATTGATTAACTTTATAACATTTTTCCACTGACAAAAAAGGTATACCATTATCACAAAATGTTATTAATTCAGTCAATAAAATTTTGAGCTGCAAACATCATGCAGGATCTTTTATTAATCATTTTACATTCTGCAGTAGGAAATTCAGAAGAAATTGAAAGTACTCAAAACCCTTACAAAAACACAATGTCCATGCTACCCTGCTAGCAGTTTTTAACAACAGTAGAAACCATTTCACAAATATTAAACGTATCATCTAAACCAATACAAAAGAACAGAGTCTTTCCATTATTCCGATGCCAGAGCTCTTGTAGCTGGTAATAGTGAGCTTTTAGATAACAGGTGTCATGTTTGAAGGTCTATTAGGCCAGGCTTTCCATTGTTACTCATGTGAGTAAGTCACAGAGTAAGAGGAGGAGGGTCCCAATGTACCACAGAATGATAAAAGCCCCTGGTTGAGGGTATGAGTGCGTTCTAATCATAATGGTTTCTTTGACTTGTATTCTTTTTACAAGAGGTCGCAAGGTTGTGGGAGAAAACATAAGCTGAAAAATCTCTCATTTCACAGAGCATTGCAGCAGCACAACACAATGAGACTCAAACTTTAAGACCTTCATTCTGGTAAAAGAAAAAAAAAAAAAGGTTAGGAATGAGAGCTATCACAAGGCCACTTGTGTATTTGGTGCTGCAATTTATATTTTACGGGAAAAAAAAAAAAAAAAAGTTTCCTCCAAGAGAAGTAAATGAGGAGGACAGCTTCTTCAAGAAAAACAAAAAATATTATTGTCTGTATTTTTTGCTAACAAAACTGTGTAGAAACACTAACATGTAGCTGCACACAGGTACGTAGAAGAGGTAGAAAAATATACTGAACAACCATAACATTCCTTTATACAAATAAAACGGGAGAAATATTTCCGTGTCCACAGCTTCCTTCTGTAAGCATTTCATTTCTATTTAAATGAAAAAAACTGATTGTATTTGCAGCGTCTGTCTGTCTGTCTGTCTGTCTGCAGTGGGTGCACCGTGATCTGTATTCTGCACACATGTTCATTCAGGATGAGGGCTTTGTGGATTCTAATCTCACACTTTAGGATCTCAAGATATCCATGTGGAAAGCTTTGTGCAATGGAATGTGAGGAAGGGGTTTGTCTGGAGCTGCAGATTTACATTTTTCTATTAGTGGTGAAAAACAAAGGGACGTGACTGCGCAGACTATGCTCAGTCCTGACTGAGGTGTAGAAAGAGGCTCATTGTCTTTGTTCAATAAAGACTTAGCAGGATTGCTTTGTATAATTTACGCTTTCTTTGACCTCTGTGGTTTTACAGAGGGGATATACCAATCAATTGGCCCAGAGACCGGAATTTCTCTCTGTAGGCCTCTCTGGTGATCTATGTCTACTACTGAAAATTACATTTCCTTTTTGCCATTAATTAAGTGTATCAGAATTAAAAATTTTGTCTGTAATTAGATAAACAGCAAGCATTTTCTTTTATGGACTTCAGTTAAAATCAGAAGATGATCCAGGATCTGTAGTTCGCTTTGATAAATTAATCCCCAAAATCTTGCAATTCCTTCCTTTTATGTTGGATTTTACTCTATTGGAAAAAGCAACCCATGTATTTCCTTCTCTTGGGTGGTTCGTCTTAAATGTCACATTTTATTTAACTGCTAAAACAAAAGCGAGTCTGTATGATTTTTAGTCCTTAATAAAAAGATATATTAAATCAAAACCAGTTGGTTGAATTAATACAAAACAATGCAAAAAAATCTGTATTGGCCTAAAAAACTGATTGATGCATGTATATAAAAAGCTTATCTACTGAAATTTCATTAGATTACTAAGACTACAACAAAAACTAACCAAACCCAGGAAACATCAATGTTTGGTGTGCTTTATCCACCCACAGTCAGTGTCGCCTCATTGCATATAAAGTGTAGAAGATGATTCGGTTGACGAATACTTAATTGCAGAAACCTTCCATTGGGGGTTGAATGACAGGAAGCCAGTCTTTTTTTGCCCATAATTTAAAGATCCAAACGCTTCAAGTTAATGTCCACATTTTGCTAATCCATGTCCACATCCAGGTTGATCTCAGTGCTCAGGTTCAGGTAGAAGAAGGCGTAAACGCAGAGTACAAAGAAGAGAATTGCTGCGACAACCAGGAAGGCATCCTGCAAAGAGAAGAAAAAGCTCACTTATCATTTATCTATGTTGGTCAATACTTTCTTTCTTTTCTAACACCCAAGTAACTGTTGGAAATTAACTTATGAGGATAAGAATCTAATTATAGCTGTTTGTAAAATGATTACAATACACAACAATACCTGAAAAATTTAAAACAGGCTAAAAGTCTACACAAGCAAAATTCTTAACTGCAAAAGTCTTAGGTCTTCTGAGCAAAAACAGCACAGTTTCAGCACAAGAGGAAAACTTAGCAGAACACCAGAGGACTTTTTATTTGTAAAATTAGAAAAACATAAGCTTTAAAACACCAGAAACAGTGAAAATTGATAACTCTTCTCTTCAAGCATGTTTTTCCCCCCCTCTCTCCTGATATAATTGTAAATGAGTTTTAGACAATCAAGCTTTTAATTAAAGATGAGGATTTGACTTACTTTATACCTTGCAAGCAAATAGATTAAATTTAGTCTCTAATCAGAAATATGTTCAAAGGACTTCCTTTTTTCAAAAAGTGTTTGAACCAGAATAAGGGGAAAAAAAAATCATCAAATGCTGTTATTTTTACTCATCACCAAACTAAGAGAATCACATACAGTAGGAGCTGATGCTTAATTAGTACCTTTAAAGGTGATTTCAGTTGAGACTTAAATGTTTTTCCACATATGAAAAAGTGCAGCTTTTATTCAGTAGTTTTCTGCCTAGTTTTTTTTTTAACTAAAAGAAAAAATATTATATGTTTTACACTTTTCAGATAATTACTGCTCTAAATGGGTGGCTCTGTCAGCTAAAGGCATGTTTTAATCTCTATACTCCAGTTAATGATTAATCGATTACTAAATTAGTTGATTAATCATGATTAGTTAGACTAATTTTTGCAGTCCTAATCTAAACTGAACAAATTATTGGTTCACTTTTGCATAGTTTAATCACATTTCTTTTTGCTTATTATTAATATGATAATTGGTTCAGTAAAGATATCTGCTGTGTCACACAATACCAGTCCATCTATTTCAGTCTGGTTCTGTTTTATAATCTGCTCTCAACCTTAGCCAGGAATACACTGTACGATATTTTCAATCGTAGTACTTAGCTTCAGCTCAAACTTTATGATGAAACCGCAGGTTTTAAAAGTTCACAGATCAAGACGTACGTTTTCACGCAATGTGCCCCAATGCTCTGATGCGATCTGCCTGCTCACACTGTAAGTCCAAAAGGTCACACGTCGGACTCATCGCTGAGTGATGGTGCTTGTCGGACTCGTCAACCTATAAGAAGAAGAACTCCCTTGTTTGCACATGCTCAGTGCTTGAGCTTCTGATAAATCTGCTTCCACAGCAGGATTTGTCCATGAACACCTCACGAGGGCAGACTGAATTTCAAACAGGTTTGATTTTCTCCCGACCTTAGAATTCCTGATCAGGAGGTGGTAGCAGGAGGCCGATTACTGCCTGTATACTAAACGACGCAGGACGCAAGATTAGGATGAAACTCAGTCCGATCCAAGAAATTCTCCCACGACTCGAAAATCAGCCTGAAAAGGGCAAAAATCGTACCGTGTATGCCAGCCTTTAGTAAAACAAGTATTATCTGGCAGTTTATGGCTTTGTCATAGTTTTTGGGAAGTTTTTTAAAGTCTTTACTGCAAAGTTTACCGAAAGTGGACTATTAAGGGTAATTTATACTAGACTTGTAAAAAGTTAGTCGGTTTAACCAAACGGACTAAAATACGCATGTAAAGCTTAAAACAAAAAACTAACCTATTAACAAAAAATAGAGTAAAATGCAAACTGTAGGACATTTCTTTTTTTAAAGACAGTTCTGTTTGTAAAAAAAAAAGTTTTAACATTTCATGTTTATATATTTACTGGGAAATTGGTTAGGAGTGAAGTTAAGCTAATAATGAAAACTAGTTATAATTCTGTAGCTCACTGTACTACATACAACCTTTTTGTAATTTTTGGCTCATATAATCATCAATAAAAACACACAGTCCTGCAGAATGTAGCCTCCTCTATGGCCTCATTCTAAAAGGACATTTTCATAATAACTTTTTTGGGGGTTTTTTCCCAGCAGAGGGAAAACAGAAGCAGTTGTACTTACAGCGGGCCAAAACGACAAAGCAGATGTCTTTTTTCGTGTATACCTGTGTTTTTAATGGGAATGGTTTTGCATTCTTTAAATTGAAACAAGCCCCCACAGTGGGAGTTCTGTCTCTGGTGGCTCCATCTGCACATTAATGACACAAACATCCAGCTGATCCACAGCAGGAAATCGTCACATGTTGAAATGATAGTGGGTAGGTGACAGTGATTCATGATAAGAAAGAAAAAAAAGTGGAAAAGTGCTACAACATGACAAGGAATATAGACATGCAATTTTTTTTCAGTACATTCAATAAGTGAGTGTTGCTGATGATCTAAAAAGATTGCTGCGCAAATGTTAAGACCTGCAAATCAATTTGATCCCGCCCATTAAAAGAAGCAGATGGCTTGTTCTACTTCCATTTGATAGTGGCTTTAAAGGGAAGATGAGGTTCAAAGCCACGGAGATGGAGATAGAGAGATTTAACGTATTTATTTAACTTACTAAGGAGCAGTAATGGTTATAAAGTCTAACAGCTGGGAGAAAGGATCTATGATAATGCTCTATGGTGCATTTAGGGTGCAGCAGTCTGTCACTGAAGGAGCTCTCCAACAGCTCCATGCATGGGGTGGGAGACATCATCCAACAGAGATGTTATCTAAGTTAGGGTCCTTTTGTTTCCCACCTCCTGCACTGAGTCCAGAGGGCATCCAATCAGAGAGCGGGCCTTACTGATCAGCTTATCCAGCAGCTTTCTCTCAGCTACAGATAAGCCACTGCTCCAACAGACAGATGCCACGACATAGTCATAGAAGGTCTTAAGGAGCACCCCTGGACTCCAAAAGACCTCAGTCTCCTCAGCAGGAAGAGTCTGCTCTGTCCTTTCTTGTAGAGAGCCTCAGTGTTCTTTTATCTCATTCCTCCAGTAGATTTAAATAAAATGATCCAACTTGGAATTAAAATTTTAATTTCAGCAGATTCATAGAACAAAAAATAAAAGTCTTAAATAAGCCAAACATGACAGTATTGATATTATTTGAATGAATTATGTGTTTAACCTCCACCCAGCAGTTTAACCTAGAAGCAGGTTGCCTATTGCCTATTCTCTTTAATATTAATTTCCCTGTCCCAGCCTTTGTTCTTTTTGAATGTTTTTTATTCTGTGTTTTGACTTTGTTTCTGCCTTTGTAGTTTTATCTTTGTACAGTGACCTTGACTCCATGAAGGCCCTTTTAAAATAAAATGTATTATTATTATTATTAATATTATGTGTGTGTCCTAAAAGTCATACTGTATAACATTTTATTCACAATTTTTTCACAGCTTTCCGTGACTGCTGCTCGAACTTGACCAATCAGCTTCAACCTGAATCTGGGGAAATGGAAATGGTAGGCCAGGATGGATACTGCTGATGGATCCACACCCAATATATCTCGAACGCACTGCAACAATCCATCCTTTGTGACAACAACGAGAGAGATCAGTTCTAAAAAAAAAAAAAAAACGCAAAAGGTAGTGCCACAGTTGAGTTTCCGATTTAGAAATCCCTTTGCACATGCTAAATATTGATATTTAAATATCCTCCACCCCTAACCCTTAGCCTGGTTTAGCCATTAGAATATGATCTGCATGTTGATGAAGGAAGATATTCAAAAAAATAGTTTACACACATTGTCTGCTAAATTGCAAGCACAAATCACTTTACTCATTTGCACCTGTGCTAAGACATACAAATCCTATATTAGCGACATATGGTCCAATGAGTAGTTTAATTCCCTACAAGCGTACAGTGAATATCAAAAGTATTAAAAATTGAAAAAATATTCACTTGAGGAGAAATTAAACAAATGGTAATATTTAAGAGCAAATGCTCTTTGAGTTATTTGGGAGGCAAGCCTCCCAAAAAAACTTTTTATTTCTACTGTCAGATACAATTGTGTTATTTTCCTAAATGCTCTTGAACTGGAACCATTGGCTTTGATCAAATGAACCTATAATGTAGCTAACAAGAAGTTGGGTCTGGGATTTGGCTCAAATGGTACAGTTACAGGGTTGTGGCTCATGTTATCCTCGGTCAAAATAATAATAATGACAAGGAAAACATTCCCCAATCCTTCTCATACTTAAGTGAACTTAGTGACCGCCTGGTGCCCATAACACCCACTGTTTAGTGGAGGATCTGAAATTCTGTGGGGCTGTTCATCTTTCAAACGCTTTGGGAAATTGTCAGGGTGCACAGCACAATGAACTGCTTGAAATAGCAGGAAATATTGAATTAAAAATATTGTAGCTTCTGCCAGAAGACTAAAATGTGATCTTTATTGCTTCTCTCATTAGCATAATCATCCAAAACAAATGGCCAAATTAGCCTCAGACTTCAGTTCAGTCTAGAGAGAGTATGAAGACAAATCCTCAACATCCTCAACAATCCTCCACTCTGGATGCTTGGTCAATGTTGCAGGAGAAGGGTTAGTACTATTACTTCAGTACTGTTTAACGGGGAAAATAAAGTTTAACAGAAATGGGTGTTAAATATGAAATTTCAAATTTGCAAATCACATTTTCATCATGCATTTCTTATGATTTGCAAGTGTGTATAGAAATTTTAAGGTAGGACTTCATAAAGCTCCAAGTTTTTTTTACAGATGGCAAAGAATGATCTTTGCAGAGCTGAAAATAAGGTTTTGACCTAACCTTTACAATTCACAGTTTATTTCTTTAAAGCCTGCAACGTGGGTCAGGGAGAGCGTCTTATAAAGTTCCCTAAATTAGTTGAATTAGCAAAATATTAAACTTTTCATACTTGACCTGCGTCTTTTTCGGGCTGTGTTTTGCAGAATGTTCATAAAAATCTAAACAGAGTCCAGATGAAGAAAAAAGACAACACTTACAACACAGACAAAAAAAG